ACTTCATTTTCTCCATGTCTACGTACTGGAAAACACAGCCTTCAGACTGTCATATTTTGTGGAGTTTTTTTCTCACCCATTTCACACAAAAATATGTTTATATGTATGAATGTTGAATTTTAGTATGTATTTTCTTGCCTGGCAGTATAAATAAGTTGTTAATACACAAAGTGTTACATACATTCCTTGCCTTATTACATGGCAAAACATCACTACTCATTTTTTTACGTGTCTTCATTTAGAAATGTAATAAGTTACTATCGAGCATGTTTTCTTGTTGCAATCTGACCAAAAAAAATTACCTTTACATTTACATGACGTTAATGGAAATTGGTAGCTAGCATCTCATTATGGGCCACAAACAATTACTTTGCTGAAAAGAATAGTAATGACAGAATTGGGTTGGTATCCATGTTCTTAAAATAAATTTTATGAACAGAAGCTTTCATAAATTTATATCATTTTAGCCTGAAATTTTTATACTGTAGCAACATCTTACCTATCAAGAAGGAAATGGGGGGGGGGAGGGATTGTGTAATTAGAACACAGACTCTACATATGTCAGAGTCTGTGTTCTAATCACGCAAATTCTTTTGTACATTTGGATAAGTCATTCATCTCAGTTCCAGAGGTACAAGGCAGATTAGAGGCAGTAAATTAGAACAGGGGAATGGTGCAGCTCTACGTACACACACAACTATCAAACCTCCTGACCTTGGGTGGTTCTTTGCCATTGACAAAATGACCATGTACAGTCACCCACTAGCAGGGACGGAAGCAGAAAAGGAGTGTATAGATGGGCAAAACACCTAATAGGGGCAATACTATGGTATAATACAGATAATTAGTATTTTTTTCTGGTTGATAACCCTAATTCATCTTTTAAAAAAAAACAAAACTAAATTATTGTCATTTAACAAATATCAATGTGGCTACTGTGTGCCAGGTCCTAAGAATGCAAAAGTCCTCAGGAAACCAGAGTCTAGGGCAAATTAAAGTCCATGGAACTTTAGTCACAGCCCCTCGTTATTAGGCCACAACGTGAGTCCATTTGCTAGTATGTGTAAGAAGATAGGGTTGATTATAATTGGTTCTGAAAATGTCCATCTCATAGGGTTAAACTATGTTAAAAGTTTGGTGATTTACATCTGCAAAAGGAGTCTTCTTCCTAAAGGATATAGAAAGCTGATAGGTAAAATCATAGTTACTATGTCCAGAAGATAAAACTTAAATATATTATGAACACACAAAACTTGCAGAGTGGAGATAATAGATACTACTGAGGCAGGCTGCCATGCACAAATTACAATGGAGCAATTGTCTTCTCTTCCCAAGCGGCTCCACTTTCTGCTGCTACAAGACTGATCTTAAGCACAGGAAGACAGCGGTACAGTTGCCGAATGGAAGGAGGGCAAGAAAGTCTTGTCCCAAAATCTCTCCAGCACTGAGGCCTAATAGTCTACCATTAATAGTTGCAACAAATCATTCCAGTTAAATTATGAGCCTTTGGATCCCTGCATTTCAGATGCAAACATCCCTGGGAGGTGATGACATTGCAGCTTTCTCTTACTGAAAATAGGCATCAAGCCGAAATCTTTTTTTTCTGGAGTAGGCACAATAGTGGACAGGAAATGATGCTCATGAAGTGCGCATTAAGAGAACTGGACTACTTGTTTTGTGTTTTTGCTTCTGGCCAACCACATGCCATCGTTCTAATGAAAGGCTTTTGTTTTAAATGCATTTCCTTAGTTTTAAAATGTCCCATATCCCTCACATAAATTGGCCCTGCCAGCAACTGACTTACAAATAATACATTCTTGTGCCAAAGCTGCCTCAACCAGCTTTGCCGGGGACTAAGAATAGCAAGCCAGCCTCGTCAGCCTCTTTCCCTTTTGCTTCTTCTCAAAGAAGCTTTGTTTATTCCTAACCCTGGGAGAGGCTTACTGCTCTCTGGGAAATCTGGTGAAGATGCTCATTCTGCTGGTTTAAAAGAATTTTGAAGTCTGAATATTTTTTTCCTAATTATAGCTGTATTAACTTAGTCTGCTTATTCCATAGCAAATATGGAGGAGCCAAGCAAGTAGAAATATAGGAAGATCACTCTATTTACTAGGGGGAAAAAATCTACTGATTTTCTTAAGACTTTCAGAAATTTTATAAGTATGAATTATAACAACATTTAAAGATTTCTAATAGGGTAAACTTTACCTTGTTCCAAGCTTTGGGTGTTTTGTGGGGGGTTTTTTGGCTTATGCTCCAGTCGAGCAGTTGTCTTAGCCATCGCCACCATTCCCCATTGTTGACAAGCTAACTAAAGTTAGAAACAGCTGCATGAACAATGATACCACAGCCAAGCAACCATGGCACTCCATTCCTTTAAAAATACGATTTTAAGTTATGTGGTGGGTTAGATGGGAAGTTAAGTTTTCATATTGAAAGGTGCAGGTAAGCATGGCTAGATTTTTCTGGAAATCTAGTTGCTGAAGGGATGTCATGCATGCTGCCTTCTACTTGCTATCTGCAATGGTCTCGAATATGAGCCTGGAAAAGGCACAGGATGTAAGATGGATTTCCAGTGGGACCCAAAGAGAAAAGTGCCAGCAACTTTGTTGCAGCACGTGTCAGAGGGAGCTGACCCCACTTCACACACCCATAGCGCCATGAACATTCTTTGGCCTTAGAAATCATCTTCAGTGGACATGCATATATCCTGAAGCAAACAAATAAAATTGCACTTGTCATTTCTCAGTCTTAAATTTCCAAAGTAGACTTAAAATTTCGTGGTTTAGAATTAAAGGGTTAAGGCTCAGCCTTTCTCCATTCATCGCATAGTTTTCAAATAGATGTTGATCTTTCCCGTTTAAACAGCAGATGTAACACAGTGGTTATCAGATTGATGACAGAGCCCTCTTTCTTTCTTTAGACTGAAGTTTATAATATGTCATGTTCAAGTAAGGGGCGGGGAAGAATATAATATTTTATATTTTATTGGATAACTATTTGTGATAGGAAATGTTATTTTCCCCTTTGTTTTATTTATTTTTATTAAAAACAGAAGCTTTATTTTTAATTGTGGTAAAATATGCATAATTTACCATCTTCACTATTTTAAGGGTACAGGTTAGTGATATTAATTACATACATTGTTGTACAACTATCACCACCATCCATCTCTAAAACATCCTCATCATCTTAACCAGAAATTCTGCACTCATTAAACACCAACTCCCCATTAAGAACATATTTTCTTAAAGACACAAGGGCCTCTGACTTCCTCGGATGTGGTAGTTATTATGCCTATAGTTACAGATTTTAACTTCACAGAAAAAAGTTCCTTCCAAAGTTTTATGTGAATAATTCAGGATATGGTGTCTTTATGTAGTCTCTTTAATCCCATTAAAATGACCTCATTTGTCCTTTCCCACTAAAATGGAACATGTGCATATTAAACCATCAGCTGCCAAAGAATTCAAACACTAACTGGTTATCTCATAAATATACCAACTGAATATGATCTTTTAAATATTTTCCTCAGTTCCAATAGAGAAATAGTTTTCAAATTTTGATGCTAAAATTCTCTCCACTCCTTTACAATGGTACTGGCTTATCAATTGAAATGTTTAATGTGGTCTTTATGCTTGGTTTACTTTGTAGCTTAAAACTAATGTTCAACACTTTTAATTTGTCATATAAAATAAACAACACTGATGAAGTGTAGGTGTGTCAAATGCAAAAATGGTGTCAGTCTAATAATTCCCTTGTATGCAGGTCTGCTAGGGCTTTATAGATTATTATCTATACTATCTATAAATATATGTATTTATAGAAATATAGGGTCCAGGTTTTATGTATACAGTATGTAGAATTTGAAATAAGCATTTTGAGAAAGCAAGTGTTTTCTAAGGCAGACATGTCTTTCTGTGTTACAAGTTTAAAATCTAGCAAATGCATAGATTTTATTCCCTCCCAAATAATTTATTTACTGTCATTGAAAAGAATTTTAATGTTTTTCTGACTTATCATAGCTCAAATTTATCACTCATGATATTGTCCATTCTTAATGTTAATTCCTTCCGTATAATCTGAGAAGGTTTATGTTTTCTCTATCCTTGTCTTTGCTGATAATATAAACAGAGGCTAACCTGTCAATATGTTTATTCTTCTCGCATGTAGAGAAGGGCACAGAAAGTGCTGTTTCAATGGAACTGGACTGCTTAAAATTTTGGATCCTTGGTAAAGCTGAAGCGTTTGTTCTTAAGACTGTCTTAATCTATTCCCTGTTCTCAATGTTTAGCCATATACTTTGTTTATACACAAATTAGCATTGCTATCATTGGTGACAACTGTCACTTTACTTTCCCATTTCTGAAGGACCTCTGAAGTTAATGGCCTATATCTAAGAATTAAATCTCTTCTGGAAATTGCTCATAAAATATAGTTTTTTGCTGAATTTGGGCAAATAAGTTGTTTTCCTACTAAATCTCGTAGTGGGTTTCTTCTTCCACCCCACTAATATCCTATAGACTCTAAATGTCAGAACTTTATTGACCTCTGCAACATGAACAGCTCCTTGGAGCTTTAATAAATTTATACATAATGGCTATAAGAGAGCACTGGGAGGTGGATGGAGCTGGGACAAATATGAGCACACAGAGAAAAGAATGAATGGGAAAAGTTATATCAAATAAGTACAAATAAGAAAATTAGAGTTGTGAATGTCTATGATACGTTAAAAGCTTTATTGGTTAGAGGCCAAAGGTTATTCTATAACTGTAACACAATTATAAATTATAAAAAGTACTAAGAGCAATTTATAATTATATTTTGGGGATATGTTTAAATTCACATCATATGTTCATTTGTTTTCTATGGAAAATCACTGTAGATACATTTTGAAGATTATGAATATTTTGAAGTGTTTAGATATTTTGATTTATTACAAGTAAATATCAGTGTTCTAATTTTAAGGTAATCACCTCTTTCTTTTTATTGACCTGTAGCTCAAAGAGTCATTCAAAGATACCAAAAAGAAATTCAACAATTTGAAGTTTAATTACACTAAGAAAAATGAAAAAGCTCGAAATCTGAAGGCTCTTAAATATCAAATTCAACAAGTTGATATGTATGCTGAAAAAATACAGGTAACAAGAATGTGTGTGTGTATGTTTGCATGTTCTACTACCATTATTGAAAAATGATTTGCATTTCAATTCTAGATGCCTAACCCTTGAGCCTTTTTATAGCACTGGAATTAAAAAGGTAGTTTTCAATTTTTAGAGCAATTGGGTTCTTCATGTAAAATATGTAATAAACTGATTTGTCTTTTAAAGGCAGCTCTATAATGGTTTCTGCCAAATCTCCCTAGCCTCTCTGTTTCTATTCTTCTGCCCAACAAACACACACACACACACACACACACCACACACAAACGCGCGTGCACACACACACACACCACACACACAAAAATACATACACCACACACACACATACATGCACACACACACATCACACACCATACACACACACACCACACACACACACACACGCACATGCACACACACCACACCATACACACACACACCACACACCACCCACTCACACACACACACACCACACACACAAACACATACACCACACCCACATCCACACACACACACCACACAAACACATACACCACACACACAAACACATACACCACACACACGCGCACACACACACCACATACCACACACACAAACACATACACCACACACACACACACCACACACTCACACACACACACCAACACATACACCACACACACGCACACACACACACATACACCACACACACACACACACACACACACACACACACACACACACACACACCCCTCTTCTACACCCCTCTCCCTTTCCTGTATCCTCTCGTGTCGTTATCACGTGTGCTGGCTAGGTTATTTTAAATGCCTTTCCCAGGAAACAGTGAACTTACTGAAGACAATAAAATATCTGATTTTATGACCATTGTCTTATTTTTTTAAATCATAGTATCATTCTCAAAATCTGGAATAGACCCTTGTGTATAGTAAATTTTCTATATGTTTGTTGAATGCTGAATTACTGTACCATCTGGAAGAAAACTCACTTTTTCCCAAAATACATTTGTAATAATTATGAATTTAACATATTATAATGGAGGAAGGTATAAAAGTTTTTCCCGAGTTTGTCTTTAATATTTAATCACTTGCTAGCCTCTTAAAAATTGAATTTTATTTTAAAAACTTTTTTTTCTTTTTGGCACAGACTTTGAAAAGGAAAATGGAAAAAGTTGAGATTAAAACTTCTGATTCTTTCTTAAATTATCCAAATAATAAAGGTAATATCCTTTTGGAAGCCATGAAGGATTTGCAAAAACATGTGAATGAGTTTGACAGAGTTGTAACAGATTACAAGAAAAATTTGGACCTGACAGAGCATCTCCAGGAGCTGATAGAAGAGGTACCCTCTTCTTGTACTGGTATCCACGTTGTGATGTTGTTTCAGAAAATTACTGTACTACTTTAAAACAATGCTCCACTAGCTATTATTGTCATTAAATCCATGTATCATACTCCTTTTCATGATAAATTCCTTAGGATAATTTCCTAAAATGGAATTGCTGGACCAAAGGGGATGAATGTTACAAAGTTTTGATTGTTCAGTTGGTCTTTGGAAAGATTTTACCAATTTACTCTTACCAACAACATATGAAAGTTTCTCGTTTCTCCATGGCCTCCTCAATTCACAATGTTTAATCATCATGGAATTATGTTCACTGCTTGATATTTGTTGAAAATACTCAAAATAACTTACTTCATAGGATTTGAAAGTGTTTAGAAAAGATTTTTCAGGTATGAAAGTTGTTATTGGTGTTATTTTTTGTTTTGTTAAGAAGAAAATCGGCAGGGTATACATAAAATATATACAATTTGACAAGTTAAAGTTATTATTTGCACAGTTCATATTGAAGAAACTCTACACTTGACGTTCTGGAGTGTTCCTTGTAGCCCATTATTCTGAGACAAAACATCTTTCTTTACCACTAACACCATAGAGCTTTTAGATTTAGCATCATATTAAGAAGGAACAAGGTGATCATTCTTGTATAACCAATCCATAGGTTTACTGTAGCTCTGTGGCATTGTTTAACACCAGTTTCTAACAGAGTCAAGTGTTTCTATTTCTCACTCAGTATAAGTGCTTGTGTCCTTCATCAGACATGTTCCTTCCATCACGATTATTTATTTTTAGTGAGAAACTGTCTCAGTTCTCCAATGTGCTTTGAAAATATGATCGAATGTCTTTTAATTAAAAAGGTCAAGTGCTATTCTTTAGATGATATTTCCTCAATCCACAGACTACATCTCATTCTTAAAAGAGAATTCATTTGAGTGTTAATCAGGCAATACTTTATCCATGTACTGTTAATGATTTCAGTTAATTAGACTGGATTTTGTGCGCTTGGGCTTTTTTTCTCTCCTTTTACCTGATATTTGGATTCTTTTCAGTGCCATATGCTTCTGATGCTGCCTGTTCTTATAAGTCTGTAACATTCCTCTTAGGGAATATGCTTCAGGCACCTCTAAGAAAGCAGGAAAATCAAATGAATTTCCAGAGTTTCACTTTCTTATCTGACTCTATTGTCCAAGGGCAAAGTATATGATCATGTTTTGATATTTTCTATATTAAGCCTTACAGAATTCAAACTAATGTGAATGTAAAGTTTGAGGAAATTGAAATTTGGTACTTCATTGGCCAAAATGAAGACATGTAGAAGGGCGGTGTCACTTTAATCTATGCTTTGTTCCATTTTAATTTAGTGTCATTTTTGGTGTGAAGATGCAAGTGCCACCGTTGTAAGAGTTGGAAAATATTCCACAGAGTGCAAGACAAAGGAAGCTGTGGAAATTCTCCACCAGCAGTTCAATAAGTTTATCATCCCCTCAGTGCCTCAGCAAGAAGAAAGGATTCAGGAAATCAGTGACCTCGCTCAGCGATTATATGGTAGGTCGCTTTTAAGGTATCCAGTGATTCACCTTTAAACAAAGCTATACTGAACCTAACCCAGCAGAAAGCAGAGCCTGGCACACCCTCAGGGTCCTCCCTACACCAACCAATTCAGGGAAAGGGCTCAAGGTAAGATCCCACAACCTGCAAAAATAAACACTCTGCAGATAAAGCCTGCGGAGTTTAAACTACCACTGTGTGTAAACCTTTCTCTGTTCTCATTTCTCCCCATTCCTGTTGATCATCTTCAAGGTATTAAAAACAGAATATCTAGACAAAAAAAATTTTCTAATTTCTACTAGAGTGATTTCTTGAAAAACGTACAAAACTCCCATAATACTTTAAATAAGTATAAAGCTAAGACTGAAGTCTCTCATTTCTATGAGGCTTATGGTTCGTGGACATAAGAAAGCTGGAAATTTTTCCCTTGCCCTCCTCTCACTTTTGGCATAAATGGGAAAATACAGTTATCATCTCATGGGTTCTGCTTTCCTCTTCTCTGTGACTAGGAAAGATAACACAGTTGTCAGCTGTTTATCTGAGAAATTCTGCTATCTAAAGGGGACCCCCATTTAAGAAGCCTCCTGGGTGTGAACAGTCCCTGAGGGCGCTGAGGAATAAGTTTCATGAGTCCCCTGATTCTGTTAACTATGAGACCAAGACTTATTCCCAATGACCAGGAAAATCCAGCCCAGAAAGAAAATAGCAACAGGTGGTACAAAGTGCTTCGCTGGGCTACCCACAGCTGCTGCCAGATAGTTTCTTTTGTAACATGAAGCGCTATCCATGGTTAGTCATAAAAGTTTTGTAGGACAATATATACTGCACTACCTAACATTAAATTGAGAATGAATTATTAATGGGTTTCCAAAGGAAGGGGTAGAAACACAGACGTAATAAAATATAGATTGAAAAATTAATGAAAACTAATGTGATGTTGCATTCTTACTATTGTCACTGTACAAGTTTCACCAAAAAATTTTAGAAACACTCACAATGTAGCATACTTGCCTCTTTATTTGTCTGTCTTCTCTACTGGCCATAAGCTCCTTGAGGGCGAGGCAAGTAAATATTATCACTGTATTTTAGTGCCTGTTCAGTTTCAGGACATGGTAAGTACTTGCAAATATTCCATAAAAGTTATGGTCCCCTTCCATCATGCACAATCCTGTATCCTGCTTTGTTTTGTATTTCTGGACCTTATCACCAGCAGACATATTGTATGGTTGTTTGTCTGTTTTCTACCTTTCCTTACCAGAGTGTAAGCTCCAGGAGAAAAGGGATTTTGCCTGTTAGTTCACTGCTTCTCAGGGTGCACCCTCAGTGCGTAACGAATATTTGATGAATAAATGAATCATTAAATGAATAATTGAATGGTGTGTGTCTTTATCTGTTCAATATGGGAACTATGCATTTTAAAAACTTTGCATCAAATAAGATACTTTAGGATATTGTATCAACTCTTACACACCACCTAAGCATTAAATCCAGAATTTTAATGCAAGTAAATTTATCTCAAATATTTTTTTTGAGTACTTATTAGTTACTAGCAGCTGTGATGGATATAAAGACAGAAAAGACCTAGTTGCTTCATTCAAGAATCCGCAGTCTATGCCTAGAAGTCATGATATGGTAAATGCAGTGGGGAAGGTATAAAATGTGTGTATTTAGTCTGGTTGGGCTACCGTAACAAACACCACAGACTAGGTAGCTTAAATGACAGAAACTCATAACGTCACAGTTCTGGTTGCTGGAAGTCTAAGATCAAGGTGCTGGCAGGTTGGTTTCTACTGAGGTTTCTCTCCTTGGCTTGCAGATGGCTGCCCTCTTGCTGCTGCTCCAAATGCACAGCCAGCCCTCTGTGCACAGGCACCCCTGGTGCCTCTCTTTCTATAACTGCAACAGTCATATTGGATTAGGTCCCCACCCTAATGGTCTCTTTTTAACTTATTCAGCACTTTGAAAACCTTGTCTCCAAATATGGTTACCTTCTGAGATACTGGGGATTGGCACTTCAGCATATGAATTTTGGGAGGGACACAATTTAGCCCATACCAATGTGTAATACAATTTAGCCTAAACTGTGGATTCCAGTAGTTGAGATTCACATCCCCAGTCCTCCAGTTATTGTCTGGGTTACCTGAGGAAGAAGCTCTTTTGAGCCTCAGGTTCCTCATGTGTAAAATGCAACAGAACCTACCTGATGAGGATTACCTTCGATAATGCATATAAAGTGCCTATGCACTCAATACATGGTAGATACTTTTATTATTATTCCAGTAGGAAAAGATAAAATCCAGTTGGCAGAGATTTCAAAATGTTTCACAAAGATGTTGGCGTTTGAAGTAGGCCCTGAAAAGTAGGTAGGATTTTGACAGCAGAAATAGGGAGTTGAGGGAGGGCATTCTCTGTACGGGAAAGAATACTCATTGGCTTTGGGAATGTTTAGGGAAAACTTATTTGTTCAGTTCAGCCAGAGATTACATATGTGAGAGAATTAGGCAGATACACATTTGAGAGAGGCAAGCTGAAACCATATTATGGAGAGCCTTGAATGTGTACATTTCTAGGTAGTGAAGAAATGCTCAATGTTCTGAACAGGAGAAAACTGATTAGAATAAAGCTTTAAGAATATTAATATAGCAACATTATTTAGGGTACATAAAAGTGGCATGGTACAGTAAATGTAACCATGTTTTTAGAATACCTGGTTTTCAGAAAAATTGCCTTTATTCGTGTATTTATCTGTTCATCAAGTATTTAAGCACTTACTACCTATCAGCCTTTACATCACATGCTGGAGAGATGAATTAATGCCTGTATTTTTTTTCCAACAGGGATTTGACCTTTAAAACTAGTTTTATTAAGTAATAACTGTGTATAGAATAATCAGTGGGGTCACTTCATAAATATCTAACCCTATGCTGTATACGTGAAACTAATATAAAGTAATATTAAATGTCAACTGTAGTTGAAAAATAAAAAAAACTAAAAAAAAATTTTTAAGTGTCTTAAAAAAATAGTTTTATTCCTTCTTTTCCCTAGGTTTTGAAGAAGGGCAGAAATATGCTGAGAAAATAGTGGCAAAACACAAAGAGGTTCTTGAATCTATTACTGAATTATGTGGCTCTCTCACAGAGCTTGAAGAAAAGCTGAAGGTAATGTCTTCTTCCCAGAATATGTGTTTTCATGTGCTATAAATAAAAACGTGTTGATCAAGTGTCTTCTGGTGGGAAGATGTTCTAAAGGAAATTCTCAAGAGACATAATGTGCACATTTGTTTCACAGCTTTCTAATATAATTATCTGGTGTTTCTGATAATTAATTCTGTGTCTTTTCTATCTCTGCAGAGAAAAATATTGCAGAGAATGAGGGCTAAACACAATTAAGGTGTCTCATTTATATTTTCATGGATCATATCCTAAAGGATAAATGTGTGCCATTAAAATCAAAGTAAAGTCTCTATTAAGTAGCCTTCTGTTTTTGTTCATAAATAATTAACATAAGGTTTTTTTTCCCTCTAACTTGTGACCCCCAGAAAAAAATAAAACTAATCTTCAGGTATTATATTCATAGAACATTTAACTTCATGGAAATGTTGAACTAATCATTAGCATCATTGATAGAACAAAAAACTGATGCTAAAAAATATAGAGAAAATATGTTTATGTTTGTCTAGGCAAAATCAATTTACAAGACAGAAATACACACACGCATGCACACACACACACACACACACACACACACACACACATACACAGAGGGTGCCAAACAAATTTATACACATTTTAAGAAAGGAAAAAACTGTATTAAAATTGTAATACTCAATATATACCGATAACAAAAGATGAATACAAGTCATGTTTGACTTCTGCAATTACAAGAGGTGCTCAAAGTTGTTGCCATCAGCATCCAGACACTTCTGATTATGGCGAACTACTGCTTGAGCAACGCTGACCAAAGCGTCCACTTGTATACATTTTTTGGCACCCCCAGTATATATATACACATACACACACACATATGTACACATACACACATTATATATATACACATACACGCACACATCTAATTTTGTCTATGTCAGGTGAGAAACTTGTTTCATCAGTGCTGTTTTTACCACCAACTGAGAGAACTGGTTATTTGGGATGGCGAGATTGGCAAGGTAATGAAGACCCCGGGCTCTAGAATAAGACACAGTTGCTTAGGAATACCAACTCTCCATATTATTGGATTTGTGATTTCAGGGAAATTACTTAATCTCTCTGATACTCAGTTTCCTAATCTGTAAAATGGGGGAAATAGGGGACCCTAACGCTAGGGCAGCCCTGAGGACGGAGTGTGGAGACCCCGTGATTATTACAGTGATCATGCTCTTGAGACATAATGGTGCTCTTGCCGTTCAGAGCAGAATTCTTGTTATTTCAGACAACGATATTTTTCTGTATAAAGTTCCTTTTCATAAATTTGAATACCCATTCTATTCAAAATAGTTTGCTAACCTTTTAATTCAACCAAATTACCTTTTTCCTGTGGCTAAGAATCTAGAATTTTCAACATTTTTTCATTTTAAATAACACTACATTTTCATGCATATAGCTTTTCCTTTCTTTTGTATTATGTTACCTATGCATAAATTCTCCAAAGCAGATTTGAGTAAATGGGTATTAAATGTATGTATGTATGTATGTATTAATATATGTAATTAATATTTCTAACACATATATTTTTATATTGCTTTCCATAAACCTTTCACAATTATAATGCCACTAGTAATGTATGAGTGTACCATATATCTTATACTATCTTTTTCAACATTTATCATTTCCTCTTCACTCCCCCACCCTCTGAAAATCTGTTTCTTCCCCCCCATTCTGATACGCAGCCTGCAAATGACTGCTTCCTCTGACACTTTGCTCTCTGTTGTCCGCAACAACCCTCCCATTTATGTTGTGTATCTTCAAGTGAGATCCACTTACTAAAACCTACCCTCTTAAAGTTATCTCCATTTCCAACTTTTCACCTTCATGGCTATTCCTCCTGAAAGCTGTTTCCATTCCTCTCCACACTTCCTCATTGCCCATTCCTTCTGCACCCCCATAGTGAGGATTGCAGCCTCTCTTTCTTATTCCTAGGCCATCGCTTGGATTCTCTTTTGCACTCGTCAGGGGCCTCCCAATTATACACTCCATCTACATCACCCTTTCAAAATACAGTTCTGCTAGTGTCATTTTTACATTCAGAACACTTCACTACAAACCCTTCATTGTTTACTAAATACAGTTCAGATTCAAGGTCTTCCAGTGTTCAAAGGCTGATTCTTTTTCCAAACCACTGTTTTCCTACAGTCACTGTACGTTCCTGCTTCAGTGGTCTACTAGCCCCATGTTCCCAGGTTTCCTGCTTCTAAACCATTACTTCCCATACATGACTTTCTATCCCCGTTCATCTAAATCTTACTGTCTCTCAAAGTCAAATTCAAGTACTGCCTCCTCCACAACTCCTCCCTTAGTTGTTTCACTCCCTCTCTGATCTCCCATAGCACTTGTGTCCTTTCCTCTCTTAAGCATCACATGGATCTACCATTACCATCGCAACCTCCCTGCTTTATTATATTTGGGGAAACCCTATGATTCTGTTCAGTTTAGCATCCCACACATTTAACACAATGCTTTGCCTAAAGCAGGATCTCCAGAAAGAATTTTGACATTTGTACTAAAAGCTCAAAGGATTGGTAGAGAAGAATTATTCAGTAGCTCAGAAAGGTTTGATTTGGGTGGATGTAAAAATGAGGAAGGGACTTTCTAGCGAGATCAATGGGTATCAGCATTGCCTTTATGAATTACAGCCTGAGCAAAAGCTTGTCAAAGAATGCTTATGAACACTTTACAGATGGTTGCACGCGAAGTATAAATGTCTAGTTTTTATGTTTTTAAGGTTGATGCCTTGGCTCTCTTTTGCAGAAGTTATTAAAAAGTAGGCCCAGAAATCCCTGTTGAGGCCGAAATAGTGATAATAATCCTTTCTATTTGTACAGCAATTTGAGATTTACGAAGGCTTCTCAAACATATTGCATCAGTGATTTCCAAATAACCTTGTGATGGAAATAAGGCAAATGTTGTTTTCATTGTTTCAGAGGTGAAGTTCAAAGAGGGCAAAAGTGCTTTGCTTGGGCTCCCACAATCAGTAGTGGTGGATCTGAAATTCGAACTGAGATATGATTCAAAATCTAATGTTCTTTCCACAACAGCTGCCATTTTGGAATTAGGTATCGAGTGTGTACTAAAGCAGAGTGACTTATCCAGTAATACAAACAAGTTAAAGTTTTAGAGTTAAGACTAAAAGCTGAATATTCCCCAGCAATGTGCTCCCCTGCCAGATTCTCTGAGTCAGTGTAGAATGCATACTTTGAGGGACATGCCTGTTTCTTTAAGGCTCATTAAACGACCATGTCCTGGGTGGAATATGTTACCTTCTGTTGCTGTACTATCATCATCCTAAGCTGGGGTTCTGTCCCTTGGTGCACCTGTGGCTCCTTTCACCGTCACTAAATCCTCTCAGTCCTCACACTGGCTCCACAGCAGCTTGCAAACCCCTTCTACCTCCATGACTCAAATGGAACCCCATGAAATGCAGGAGCAAAATACCTTCACTCACATCCTTCGTTTTCAATAGCTTTTTCCTTTACCATACTCAGTGATTCTTCCTCCTTTTCATGAGTCTCCCAAACATTTTGCTTGTATAAGTTCTCTGAATGTCCTACTTTGTTCTCCACCAGAGATCTTTAGTCATGTCTGCCTTGCTGCTGCCCTGACCCTCCTAATGGTTTTAACTGCCATGCACATGATTCCTTTCTCTAGAGAATGCTCCTGTAGGTGCATCCTCTTATAACAATGATGTTTGTCCTGCTGGGCCCTGAACAGCCAGTTTTTGTTTGTTTGTTTGTTTGTTTGTTTGTTTGTTTGTTTGTTTGTTTGTTACTGGCAATGAACTTTATCAAAGGAGTGAGGTAGGAGGGGAACTGTGAACTTGGAGGGATAATGTCATAAATCACATCATGGGAGTACATCAGCTTCTTGTGGAATACATTTATTGAAAAGTTGCAAGTGACCTATGTTTTTTTCCAAGTGGTTATTGTATGGCACTGTTCCTCCAACTTTTCTGGTCCAGGCTTTCACTAACCGCCACTTTGTACAGCAGGGAGACGTTTTAAAGATGAATCTGAATTTGGAAGACTTCCATGATGATTGCATTGACCTACTGAAAGAACCAGTGAGGAATAAGCAGACAGTATTCAATGAAGAAATGAATAAGGTAAAGAAAACTATGTAACCTCAGCTATTCATTACTTTTGTTTTGAGGTTAGAGTCATTCTGCATTGCAAAAACAAAAAAAAGATGAATTGAAGCCTTATCTATCTGAATCAAATATCCCAATGTGAATGCAATGTGAGTGTCCTCACCCCTTACTGCCTTTCTACCAGTTACTTAGTTCTCCTGCACTATGATATTTCCCTCTGAGCCCCTCCTAATGAATACTGGAACCACAGCATTTCACAGTGATATTGGGACAGCCATTCAAACACCATACTGTCACCTCAAACTACTTCTACTTCGCCCATCTTTAGCTGCCTTTCCCGTTGTCCGTTTACATTCACACCCAACTTCAGATCTTACTTCTCCCTCTTTATCTTACCACCAAGCTATGATTTTGTTGTTTTACACTACCCATTAGCAAACCTTGATACATGAAATTAGATTGTATCTTGTCCCCATAGAATCTACTTTTAAGATATTTTCTAGCACTAAAATATAGAATCAAACTGAAATATAAATACTGAAGTATTTAGAAAACTGTTTAAATTGCTTTAATACCTATGCATTACAGATAAAATAAACATGTATCAAAAACTACAAGTACTAAAAAATGCAAATGTTCTCAAAAGTATTATTTCAATCACATCATTATGGATTTTGGGCATCAGTTGCACATTCTCTATTCAAAGCTGCTGGACTATAATTAGCTCTTGGCTTTCTGCTTTGCCAAGTTACCTTCTCCCTCAACCAGGGAATTGAAGGAACAAGCAGAATCAACTCCATTCTCAACTGCCCCAAATTAATAAAATATACTTCTTGTGACCTGAGACTTAAGAAAAGAAATAAATCTCCCTGTTGTTGTTCAGTTATCTCATGGAGAAATAGTTATCTTGCCTTGAAGACAGTACAGTTCTTAGAGCTTCTTTGTAGGTCCTTTTCCACAGGTTAAATATATGTAAAGATCTAGTTCAATTGCATAACCACCAGGCAGCAAGAACCATTAAGCAAATTGACTTCTTTTGTGGGATGATCTTGAGATACTTAAACCCTAGTTCTTCTCTGAGGCAAAGGGAAGCTGCCAAACCTTGGTCATCTTGTTGGACTGTAGTCTTCTATCATATGGTCTTTGGTTACTCTGATTGATCTAAATCAGGGTTTTTCAACCTCAGCACTGTCAATATTTTGGCTCAGAAAACACTTTGTTGTGTGGGGGTGCTGTCCTGTGCATTGTAGAATGTTCAGCAGAATTCCTGGCCTCTATTCAGTAGATGCCAGTAAGGCCAGTAGCAGCCCCTTATCCTGTCCTGACAACCAAAAAATGTCTCTAGAAATTGCCAAATATCTCCAGGGGAGCAAAATCACCCTTGATTGAGACCTACTAGTAGAAATAATAATGTCATAAAATGTATCACTGTTTCTTAACTAAGTTTGTAAGTGATACTAAGTCCAACGTCATATTATTTTTTAGTTATAGAAATTTTCTTCAATATTAGCAATGTATAATTGCTCAAAAATTAAGAAACCAATAAAACAGTTATTTTAAAATTCAATAATAAGGACAGGTCATGTACCAAATATAGACAATTAGCCTGATAATATAATTACCAGTATTATGGTGAAAATCAAAAGATGATGTTGAGAAATTTCAATCAATCTAAAATTGTGGACTGACCAAGACTATCTTCAAGACAAAAGGTAAAACAAATGATATTTTCAGGTGACAAAAAAATGACAAATTTGCTTTTTGATTATTTTGTTACACTCTTCTTTGCACCTGGAAATTTTCTATATGTGAATTTTTTTTCGAGTTATGTATGTTAAAGTTTGCATTTTTTGCTGTAAAGTTCTATGCATTGTAAGCATTTTGACAAATGTTTAGTGTCTTGAGTTCACCAATACAGTATTTTACGGAATAATTTTACTCTACTAAAGTTCCTTTTGCTTGACCTATGCAATGCTCCCCAACACAACTTACGGCAGTGGCTGATCTTTTGGCCCTCTGGTTTTTACACCTTTCCAAAATATTATGTAACTGGAATCATGAAGTATCTAGCTTTTTAAGACTGGTCTTTCTCACAATGCAACATGAATTTAAGACTCCTTAATGTCTTTTTGTGGCTTGCTCATTCATTTTATAATTGATGAATATTTTATTATATATTTGTCACATTTGGTTTATTCATTATCCATTATCTAATCCATTGAAGGAAATCTTAGTTGTTTTAAATTTTTAACAATTATACATAAAGCTGCTATGAATATCCATGTGCAGGTATGGATAATAATTTTTTTTAATTAGTTGGGTTACCTAGGATTGTATAGAAAGGCTGTTTAATTTTGTAAGACTGCCAAACTGTCTTCCAAAGAAGATATGCCACTTTACATTCCCACCAGCAATTAATGAGATTTTTCTATTGTTCTGCATCCTCACAACAACTTGGTATTGCCAGCTCTTTAGATTTTCACCATTCTGATAGGTGCATAAGAATATCTCTTTGTTATTTTAATTTGTAATTCCCTAATGACAAACAGTGTAGAGCATCTTTTCATATGTATATTTGCTATCCGTATATTGTGTTTGGTGAGATGTCTGTTCAGGTCTTGCATCCATTTTTAAATTGAGTTGTTTGTTTCCTTATTGTTGAGTTTTAAAAGTGTTTTTTAATTTTTAAAATTTTTTTAATTTTTCAATTACAGTTGACCTACAATATTATATTAGTTTCAGATGTACAACATAATGATTAGACATTTATATAACTTATGAAGTGATGACCCCAATAAATCTAGTACCCATTTGACACCATACACAGTTATTACAATATTATTGACTGTATTCCTTATGCTATACTTCACATCCCCATAACTATTTTGTATCTACCAGTTTTTACTCCTTAATCCCTTCAACTTTTTTTTTTTAAGCTGAGCCATCCTGCCACCTGTTGGCAGCTCAGCAGCTGCTCAGCTCGGGCCGGGAATCGAACTGCTGTTGCTCAGAGCTCACACTCTTGAGCGAGCTCTTAACCAACTGAGCCACTCGGCCGGCCCTTCCCTTCAACTTTTTCACCCAACCTCTAACCCCACTCCTGTCTGGCAACCATTGGTTTGTTCTCTGTATCTATGAGTTTGTTCCTGTTGTGTTTGTTTGTTTATCCTGTTCTCCAGATTCCACATATAAGTGAGATCATATGACATTTGTCTTACTCCATCTCACTCCACGCAGCATATCTTCTAGTTCCATCCATGTTGTTGCAGATGGCAAAATTTCATTTTTTATGGCTGAGTAATATTCCATTGTGTGCGTGTGTGTGTGTGTGTGTGTGTGTGTGTGTGTGTGCACATGTGTGTATCACCTCTTTTTTATTCATCCATTATCCATTGATGGACGCCCAGGCTGCCTCCAAATCTTGGCCATTGTAAATAATGGTGCAATGAACATATGGATGCACATGACCCTTCGAGGTAGTGTTTTGGGTTTCTTCAGATAAATTCCCAGAGGTGGGATTACTGGGTCCTTCTGTGTCTCTTGTTATAGCCTTTGTTTTAAAGTCTACTTTGTCTAGTATACATATTGCTACCCCAGGTTTTTTTTCTTTCTATTATTATTATTATTAGTAGTAGTAGTAGTAGTAGTAGTAGTAGTAGTAGTAGTAGTATTTTAATTCTGCACATTTTTCTACTTTGTCAACCATACACATTTACTGAGATTGGAAATGAAAGTTTTGCTACCAAAGCAAACACACTCAATTATACTTAGTAAGAAGGTCTTTTCTTGCTTTTATTTATTTTCCTTAGAAGAAAAGTTAGAGAAACAGATTCCTTTAAATAAAAAAATGATTTCCTTTTATTGAGGAATAATTTTTATTTTAATATAAATTAAAAGATATGATAGATCATCAGTTATTTAGAATAAAAGTAAAGATTCACAATTATAGCTGTCAAGAACTCTCATTGACATAATTTTACATATACATTCTGGTACAATGTGTACAGAGAGCAAAATGAAAGGGCAGCAGTAATCATCACTTTTAAATAGCTCAGTCACATTTATTCTCTGATTGTCTCTATCATTTGTATTATAGGTCAGATATAATGATTCCAAAAAACATCATGTGGGCAGACAGCAAGAAACACCATGTAAAAAGCTTGTCCAGGAATCAGTTAGTTTAATTCTGATGCCCTTAAATTGTGTTGATCTTTCTCGGAAAATGATTTGAGTCAGAAAGAACAGTTCAACCAAACTATTAAAAGAATGTATTAATCACAGGATTTTCTCCTGGAGATCATGCTTCTCATTTTTCTGACCCCAAAATGGAGCAGGTGGAATTAGGCAATTCAGTAAATGGAATGCTTATTAGTGGTGGTGTTTTATCCCCAAAGTGAGGACCGAAGCTAAATCCACAGTAATATGTGAAAACTCCTAAGGTTAAATGGAGGCACAGAGTATTAAGAAACTTGCCTAAAGTCACAAAACTAGAAGCTGAAGGCTTGCAATGCCAACAGTGAGAGTTAGAGAATTCTAGCACTAAGGGACTTAATAATCACCGGATCAAATCTCATTTTACAGTTCAGGAAACTGAGGCCAAAAGAAATGAAATGTTTTGCCCTCCAAAAAAATCACAGAAAGCAGCGTCAGGGCTGGGCAGGCAGCCCAGTTCTCCTGATTTTCAGACATGTAACTTTTTCCACAAGACCGAAGGAAAGCTCCGAGGAACTGCTGTTTTGTAATGACACTGTAGATTCCCACGCCAAAATTTTCCCCTCTTTGTATTCATCTGTTTATGTGATGATTAATAAAGCAATAGCGTGGAAGTACTTTTATACCAAAAAGTCAGTGGAGTGTTCTTACCAGACTGGGAGAGGACAGTCTCTGGGCCCCCTCCTCTAATCCTGATCACTCGGTAGGTGGCAGAAAATGTGCTTGAGACATTTGCTTTGGAAAAAATTGGGAAGAAGACAGTGTTTTCCACCACCATTTTTTTTTATCTTGTCCACTCCAAGTGCCCAAGGGTGCCAAGTCACCCCTTGGCTGCCCAAAGCCCCTTCCAAATTCCCAGAAATGCCTTTGAAAGATTGAGCCCTATGTTCAATATCTTTATTGCTCTGCTTCCTACTTACCTTCATTTAATTTTGTTTACCCCACAATAAGACGATTTATTCAGATATTTTGAATGGTAAAATTTTGTGATGTACCCTTAAATTTACCACATAGATGGGTCCCCACTCTGTGTACTTTGAGAACTGGTGCTACACACTTAATTCTATGGATGGAGTGTATCATTATATTCTCTTTTCCAGACACTCATTTTGTTTACCTACTTGGCAATGGTTATAAATCCAGGTGATTATGCCCATCAGTGGAAATGAAAGCTTAGAAATCCCAACTGAGATAAGATCTGAGGCTATAGATTCAGAATTAATTAAAAGCTAACTGGGGCTGATGAAGTGGTACATTGGTTAAGAGTTGGCTTGGGATGCCAGCTTTAAACAGCAGGGCCCCAGTTCGGATCCCACATGAGAGCCAGTGACACTGAGCCCTCTACAGCTAAGATGGTGAACAACAGCATGACCTGGAGCTGGGCTGCCGTGAGTCTCCAGTGACGGCATAGACTGCAGCCCCTGTTGCAGTGAGCTGCCATGAGCTACCATGAGTGGCTGGCAGCCAGCATGAGCGTCCGGCAGCTGGCGTGAGCTGGCATGAGCTGCCATGAGCGGCCGTCCAATGGCTGGTGAGCAACTGCTTCACCCAGGAAGAGCGCAATGATCATAATACCAACATGGGCCAGTGAAACAACGTCCTCCACAACTAGACTGAAGAACAAAATAACAGCAACTTGTCTTTTCCCTTCCCCAATTCTCCAACGCTGTTCCCCTCCCCCAATTCCCCAATAAAATCTTTTTAAAAAAAAAACTTAGCTGATCATTAGATGTGAAAGTGGATGAGAGTTTTGAGAAGGAAAGTCTATAGAGAAAATTAGAGAACTTAAAGACAAGATCACATATTTATTATATTCAGAAGGTAGGAAAAGGAAAAATAATCAACAAAAAAGATAAAAACTAGGGCTATAAGAGGAACATATTGAGAGTGAGCTGTGTTTGGTGAATTATATCAAAGTGTCCCAGCCATTTTGCCAGAACTCATCAGATTGATGCAAAGGTGCCTTACCTGTGCTGAGATATGTAGATTTATCTAATTTTTTCTAGAAACACACACACACACACACACACACCTTCTTTCTACTAATAGCAAAAATGGTTTCATGGTGGGAAAGTGCGAAAAAGTAGTTGTTATATGTGACTATTTGGGAACCATTTTCATAAAGGAAAACTAGAAAACCCAGAAAGTATATACCTCAGTGAGTTTTAAAAGGAATTTTTGTAAAATTCCATATTGACTTAAAAACTAAAAGCTTATTTGCATTTGACAATAAAGGCAAAAGTACCAAAAGGCAACGTGGACTTACTAGGAAAAACTTGTGTTAAACTCACTTTATTTTGCTTTTTGAGATGATTTTTTAATAGGTAATTTTAGGTTAGTGCCATAGGCAAAATGCATTATGGTTCCAGGAAATCATTTGATAAACACACTCATGATATCTCTCTGAAAGTCAATGGAGAAATGTGAACTGAGTGGGAGTTTGGTTGGATCATAATTGTACCCGAGAGTGTTAAGCAGTTCATCAGTGTCAGCCTGGAAGGCAGTTGCCTTGCCTTGGGAGACGTCTGGCTTTGTCCTAAACGCTGCAGTGCTCAACCTTATCAGTGATATTAATGGACAAAGGAAGTAAGAAATTTTAGGTGATTAGAACTCAGTATGAATTAACAGTACATGTGGTTCTTATAAAAACAAAAAATGATCTAACGCAGTCACTTTAGTAAAAACATGTCATATATAGATCAAGGAAATGATTATTCCACTGATTACTTCCCATCTGGAAAGTAAATAAATCCGGAAATAAGCATATTTAGGGGGGAACTTTAGTAAGATGAAAAATTAAGAAAAAAAAAAAAAGATTTGGGAAAACTCTCTTCCTCCTGTCATCAGTAGAAGTTATCTGGTAGTGGTATTTTGTGTGGAAAGTGTTTTTCTACTTTAGGAATTGTAGGGAGTAAAAAATAATATCCTTGGATTCCCTTCTTGAGTTTGGCACCATCTGAAAGTGAGACGCAGGAGTCAGAAATTAGTAACCAGTAAAAGCTGGACTGGAGGATGTGACTCAGACTTATCTAGGGGGTTTCCCAGAACTTCTTCTCTGATTTATTAATCTAATAGGTAGAGTTACCTACCCAGCCACTTGGGAGCACAGCTAGGCAACCACAGGATACCTGTACGGGGGTTTCTCATGCTTTAGAGCCATTGCGAATGCACCCAGTTAGTGGAAGGAAGACAAGCAGGCTTCAGAGGGACAGAACTTACCATGCTCAGTCTCTTCTTCCAAACCCGCAATGAAATAAGTCAATTTCTCCCCACGAGGGACTGACTGGTGGGAAGACTAGCCTGGACTTTTATTCAAGTTTCTCTCCTAAGCTTTTTGAACAATTTAAGACAATTTTTAAAGATTATTCTTCTCTGGAGAAGCATAAGTTACCCAAAAAAGCCATTAAGGAGTCGCCTGCCCCTGGATGGCCTTAGAGCAACAAATGTCCCTGATTTCCTATGAAGCAGCTTATAGCCCTGTAGGAGTGGCACCTCCCGGAAGGTGACCAGAATGATGCAAGTTCCAGGAGTCGAGGCAGAAGGAGATCATGGGGGGTTTAGTGCAAAGATAGAGACTGAGAGGCTGTGGGACCAATCCTCCAAAGAGTCAAAGGGCTGTTCTGAGAGGACAGCAGTTGGACACCTTCTGTGTTCCTCCAGGAGGCCCGTTCAGATCCACTGGTGGATACGGAGGGAAAGCGGGTCTTGGCTAAATGTAGGAAGATATTCTTAACACAAATAACACATAAAATCATTTTCAAAGAAAGCACCCTTTCAGGAAACGTGTTCAAACGGAGGCTGCCAGAATGTCACAGAAATTTTTAGACTGAAAAGGAAGTTGGATCAAAGTCCTTATGAAAAGGAAAATAAATATTCTACTTTTAGGAAGAGATAAAAATAAGAGGCAGAGCTAAGCTAGTAGGAAAACCAAAAGAAGGCGGGGCATTCCCTACTAGATATGAGTTTATTTAAATTTTTTTTTAATGAGAGGGATTTTTAAAAGCTTCTGGCTTAACAGACCCAGAATTTAAACTTCTATTCAATGGCTGAAGGAAACCACATTCTCTAAGCTGGGTTTATGCTTTTGCTGAAAATAAATCATATCTGTGGGATAGTAGGATCACTGTTGTGTTTTTACTTCTAATCTTCAACCTAAAAACACTTTTATTTCTCAAAAATCACTTATAAAGTATGCCAGGAGCAGGACCATGTGCTAAAACAAAGAACTCAAAGTCAAGGCAAGACATAACTTTCTTGTGTGCAAGCTATAGCACACAGGATGAAAACCAGGGATTTAAGCAAAATTCTTAAAGCAAAAGCGCACCCCAAATACTGAGGAAAGGCAAAGAAAGAAGTAGATGTAAAACAAGCCATTTGGGATAGATGAGTTCCGTTTCAGCTTCCATGCTCTTGTGAGCCTATGCCAGAGGGTGTATTTGAGCCTTTTCTTAAACCAGAGATGGACATGGATTGCTGGGGAAAAATACTAGAGCAGGAGGCGATATACTGCTGGTCACAGTCTCCTGGCATGACCTACACTCCCCACTAGACTGTCATCTCCATGAGGGCAGAGATTGTGTTTACTCCTACTCACCATTTTAACTCTGCAATGCCCAGAACACTACCTAGTATATGATAGGTGCTCGTGAATGTTTTCTCAATGTGAGAATAAAACCATGGGGCTTTAAGAAAATAAAACCAGTCACTAAAAATGGCTTTCTCTCTATGAAGTACCCAGAGTCTTCAAATTCGTTGAGACAAAAAGCAGAAGGAGCTGAGGGGAGGGACAATGGAGAGTTAGTATTTAAAGAGTATGCAGTTTCTCTTTAGAAAGATGAAAAATTTCTGGGGATGACTGGTGGTGATGATGCACAGCTTGCTGAATGTACTTACTGCCACTCACCTGTACACTTAAAAAAATGGTTAAAGTGGTACATTTCATGTTATGTATATTTTAGCACAATAAAAAGATAAAACAAAATGAAAAGAATGATGCTAGAAGAGTCCAAGGAGTTACCTAACAAGGGAGCCTCCGATGGCTTTTTTTTTTTTAGGTGTAATTTTTTTTAATTTTATTAAATTTATTGGGGGTCACATTAGCTAATAGAATTATATAGGTTTCGAGTGTACATTTAGGAACTGTGTTCATATGCAGTGTAAACAAATAAACCAAAGCAGAATTTGTTGGTGGAAGGAGACACCTCAGGTTAGGATTTGAAAAGACATTTATCCAGTCTGACCCCTTGATTAGAGATGATAACTAGAACTGCCTCGTCCTTTCCACAAGGTCGATCACGTTTCACTCAGACACGGGGGGTCAGTTTACCGGTTCCTTAGTCATGGGATGGAACTGTGCTCAGGTTAAATAGACAAATGGTTTCAAGTAACGCTCGAGCCAGGGCCCCAAGCTTTAACTCACAGCAGGTTTTCTCACATTGTCTCTCAAATTGAGTTTGAGACCTAGAGAAAGAAAATTCAATGACTAACTCAAAGTTTTGGCTTTTCTGTTTGGAAGGAACAGGCTACGGTAGCCGATATTTCGGCCATGGATGGAACAAGAGGAAGAGGAAGTCAGCTTCCCCAGGACCCGAAGCAGCTGTCCTCTGGCAGAGAGGGTGGTGTCCAAGGCCTGCTCCTGCCTTCAGACATGCTTGTAGAAGAACATGAGTGTGTCTCGCCTGATGACATCTCTTTGCCTCCACTCCCAGAGAGCCCCAACTCCCCCCTCGCACTGTCTGACATGGAGGTGGAAGAGCCTGCCAGCCCCGCCCTCAGCCTTCACAGAAGCAACTACAGGATGCAGAAGGGGGCCAGTGGTCCAGGGGAGGCCCAGGAATCTGTTCTTTCACCACCTCCTGCTTTTGCTGATACTTGCAGCGATAAGAGAGAAACATTTGCAAGTCATTTTGAGAGGCCTTACCCTCAGCTCGAAGCTGAGCCTCCACTAACCCCCAGAGGATTTCTGGAAAAGAATACTGGCATCTGCGAAATCAGTGCTAAACATACAGAGAGCATGTCGCGTGAAGTGCATGAGAGAGCTTTACAGCAGCACCCGCAGGCTCAGGAAAGTTTGTTAGAAACACAGGCGAAAATGCATGCTGATGATAACGTCACTAAAACCCGAGATAGGCTGCATGCTTCCCAGGACGCAGTCTCAGGCCTTGGGTTTCAGTCAGGCCCCAGCCTGGCCTATCAGAGGCAGATAGTTTCCCAAGAAGAGATTAGAAGCACATCGGCAAAGAACAGCGTGGTCAGCCTAGCTGGCCAGGCACCTCATTTCTCCAGGCTCCTGTCTAATGTAACTGTTGTGGAAGGTTCTCCAGTGACTTTGGAAGTTGAAGTGACAGGATTTCCAGAGCCTACACTGACATGGTGGGTAGCCTATAATGACAAGCCATAACCAGAAACAAATTGAGTCACTTAGCACATCATTCATGTGCTCTCACATAAAGGTTTAGGGATAGCTGATTAATATTCTGCAACACTGCAACTCTGCATGGTTCAACCTCACATCAAACCCCCAACAATCATTGTAGTCGCAGCATGGCTAATATCCTGACAAAAAAAAGTAACCATATAAAATAATAATTTAACAAACTCCCAAAGTACTGCAACTTAGATGTGCTGGTTTTTTGTTTGTTTGTTTTTGTATCAGCTTAACATTCCACATTTCTAAAGATAGTGGGTTGAAATTCTTTCCTGTTGTTTATATTTACATAAGCATGACATTTTCTTGATTTAACATCCCTTATTCAATTTAAAAACATAAGAATTTGGTGTTTTTTTCTTTTTCTTTCATTTATCTATCTCATCTTTTTTTCTCTTCCCAGCAGTCACAGATGCCACTTTTGCAGCATTGTTTATTTCACTAAGATTTCTTTGTGTAAATTCTTCAGTGTAAGAGATGGAATAAAAATATTTCTTTCACAGTTACTCCCAGTGACAGATAATAAACCCATTTTTGAAAAGTGGTATAATAACTGAGCTGCAAACAATATGATTTCACTCTGGAGACATCATTATTTTTTAGCCTATTTGTTTTAATAAAAGTGAACTGCAGAACACAGGTTTTGAATCACCTACTGTTGTTATAAAAGTGGTTCTAACTCTCTCAATACTTGGGTTACTTTTAAATATTTACAAAATTTTCATCCTCAAGTAGATTTATTTGAGGACAAAGTTTCAAATTTGTGGGAATGAGTTTATACTTCTAAATTAAGATAAATAAAATAACATTTACTTATCAAATATTTTAGTAGATATTAAATTAGCAGTTTAAATTATTGTGTGTGCTCATTGATAGTACTTGAAGTGTGAATTGATTTTCTAAAGAACGTATCAGAAAACTTTGGTTTCTTGGATTATTAAAAGAAACTGCACTTCTGCTACAGTGCCACCATTTATGCTTTTTTGTTTTATTTTATTTTTTTTTACACATCAGGAATTTCATATTTATGAATTTGAAAGATATTTAATTCATCATTAAATATCAGTTCCCCCCAAAGAAAAATGTTGTCTGAAGTGTTTCTTGTTTTTGTACACACAACAAATAACTTGGTACTTGGTTAGTATATGTTGTTGAAGAGTTACTGCAACTATAATATTGAAGAACCATGGTGAAAAAATATCTTGCCCTCAGATTTGCAATTTTGCCTAGTTAACCACTGGCAAGCTATCAGGGAATCACACAACCTTAGGACATTCCTAAAAATGCAAAATTATCATTTGGGCCATGATTCAGGTTCGTCATCACTTCTTGTAAAGCAGAATGTGGGTGTAAAGAAATAAACAAGAATCTAGAATCTACTGAAGAAACCAATTATTTGCTTTGTGAAAAGATGCAGCTAAGTGCTCATGTTCTTAGGAACCTTTAAGAAACATGTCAGTAACAGTAACAATCCAACTGCACAAGTGCTTTTTATAATTAGAAGTCATTTTCTTCTAATGAAATTAATTCATAAAAATTAAATGAATTCATTTCTCCAGGAAATGGTGTATAAGTACCTTCCTCTAAAACAGCACACTGGGATTGTCATGTGGATCTCATGGGATGAATATAATGGGGTGGATGAGTCTCACTCCAGTACAGACTCCAGACTCACAAGCTGCTGTTCCATAACAGCTGAAAGGATGATGCAGGCCAAATAGGAGGGTGCCGTTTCATAGTCTAGAAAATTGCCATGAGCAAATGGTGGCCCAGTGTGACCAGATGGCCTGGTTTTTGAAGAGTAGTTGGATATCTGAATTTTCATATGCAAATATTCTAATTGGGAAACGCTGTCAAAAAATTCAATTTTTTTTAAAAAAACATGGTCCGAACCAATCAAACACTTCTCTGGCCACCAGCTGCCAACCTCTACTTGAAAGCTAAACAGCCCCATTGGAATTCATGGTAGCTGCAAACGTCCTGCTCATACTAGAGAATATCGCAGTGGTAATGGGCCTATTTGCAATGGTTTTTACAGATTGGATAGGATGTGAATAGTGATCCTGACTAAAAACTGACTCTCTGCTTCAGGTACAAGAAAGGCCAGAAATTGTCTGCAGATGGACACTTACAGGTTTTACACAAGGAGACAAGACATTCAGTGTTCATTCCGAAGGTATGCGGGGCAGATGCAGGCCTCTATGTGGCTCGGGCCCAAAACTCTAGTGGCATTCTCTCTTCCAATGTCATCCTCCATGTGACAAGTAACTGCAGTCCACCAATCACAAGAATAACCTGGATAACGCTGTGTGTCATCTATGTTAGTGTGTCCCTCATGTACTGGCTGCTCGTACAGTGACTGTGCGATTGGCACCCATGGACGTTATTCTCAGAAGCCTAAAGGACAATACCGTTTCTTTTCCTGCACCTTCCACAAAGCATCCCTGACCAAGTGTACCTGCATTCTGACCCTATGGCTTGTTTAGCTAATACTATGGCTCAGTGAAGTTACCCAGTTTTCTTTAGTGCTTTAATCTATTTGAAGAGCTTGGTAAATTATGTGCAGTGGGTAATGATACATTTTTGTATTCTAGAAGGAGATGTGTTCAATACAAAACACAGTAAACTTATGTTTATTCCCTTCTAATTTGGGAGCATGCAGATCAAGGCTCACAACATAGACATGTGAGTCACATTTCAAATCCAATTGTTCGAAAATTTATTTTTAATTGTATTCATAAATATCTCCTTGTAGAATAACAGTAGAAATATTGAACTGAAATTGTAATTTTTATTATTGCATTAGGTGGCCTTTACTTTTGTTTTTTCATGTCTTGATCTCATTTATTGAAATACATTCTATGTAGTTTCTACATAGCCTACATTCCTGAGTCGGGGGATGCTGCTGTAAATAATCGCTCCTCATGCAGATCTCATGGGTTTGACATTAGAGAACAGATGTGTCCCTCGACTTTAAATGGAGTTTCAAACATCCATCAGCTATGCATGTCATAGAGTGAGACGGAGCACAGTCTGTGGGAATGGGCGGATATTGTTCTTGTCATTCCATTGACGTGTTTTGGGCAGCCATGTATATGCAACTTCAACCAGTTCCTCCTGCTTCTAATTTTGATTCTGCTGCGGACCATTTTTGCAGCCAATGGTAAGGCATCTTGGTGCCTCAGTTTCCCATTCAGAAAATGGGCTCATCATCTACCTCTTGGGCAACTGAAAGTCTTCATTTTATGTCCTATAAATATCTGGAAAATGTAAAGCACACTATGAAGGTTAAGGGTGATTATATTGATTACTGTAATCTGTCATAACATTGCCTCCTGCCCACTATTTCTCTTTCAGATGTTGTTTCTTTAGAATATTAAAGGAGTGGCGTTAGTTTGTGATCTCCAACTATTCCCATATTAGAAAATGATGTTTTATGAATTGGAGCTTAAATTCCTTTCTAATTTCTCAAGACTACATACTTTTCAAAGACTTGAAATTAAATTCAGGAGGATACGTTTAGTATGATCTAGGAGGGAAAAGTGTGTAGTAAAATGACATAAGATGAATCCTATCCTTTTTCATAATTATCACTTTAAAATTGAAGAATGTTCTATGCCTTTATAAAATATATTATTCAAAAAAGGTCATCTTTTGGGCCCCCTTTGAAAATAAACATGAATAACAGAGGCATTTGTCTTTTAGATTTTAAGCATCATCTTTTCATGCTAGGGAAAGTCTTTCGTTGAAAGAATAATTCATTGTAGTTTTTTGATGAAGAGAAAGAATTAATTATGTTGCTGTAAGGATGTCTACAAATAATAAAAATATTTAAATGTAATATATTCAAGTTGATATTAAGTTACTGAATGTCATCTAAAGATGTGAAATCTGTGGTTGGGTAAAACGTTTGCATATTTTTTTCTTGTGCTGCATGTTCACTTTAATTAAAATATTAAATCTCTTAATTTTCTTCCAGATTTTGACAGCAACCTATTAAAAGCATATATATACAGCATCCTAAGGGATTCATAGTCTTTTAACTCTCCTATGCTTTTTGTCCAGTTTCAAGTATTTTGCATATCTCGCCTAACTGCTATTTCCATGTTGAAGCAAAAGAATGAGACCTATTCATGTCCCAACAAGGCAGGTAGGACCGTGTAACAAATTCTTGCCCCACTGCCTCTTTCTTGTTAATTTAATGGGATCTCCTTTCCCTATACATAAGCTTGGTTGCATTTGTGGCTCAGGGTTGTTAGGGCACTGGAATTGCTGGTTTGTTTTCCCTGTTGCATGCCAGGTAATGTTAATCCTTTGTGGAACAGGGTGGGATATACATGTATTCACAGTGTATGAACAAATAAGGCACATAAAGCCCCTGATATTTTAATGTATATATCAAATATAAGATTATACATGCATACAGAGATATAAATGTACACACATACATAGAGCTGAAATATTGGGAAAAAGCATGATGCTGATATTCAAGATATATTTCAGATAGCAGTCTGTATATCAGTCTCTATCTGCCTGTCTATCTATCTATCTATCTATCTATCTATCTACCTACCTACCTACTTATCATCTGTCTGTCTACGTACGTACCTACCTATTTTTCTGGGCTATTGATTGACTATCTAGTAATTCCCAGAGCAATGAAGAATACTTAGCTATTCAGTGTTCTGGCTATATTTTAACTTTAAAGACTTAAATATAATTTTCCTTTTTGCTAAGACTTCTGTCTTCATCCAAAAATTCTCCTATTGAAAGTCTGAACTAAAGTTATTTTTAAGAAAGAAAAATGTAGGCATTTCAAATGATTCTATTTAAAGATATATACATGATTTATACCCATTTACTTCTCGAGAAAATTCTGGACAGCTGGTAATAGCAAAACACTTCTCAACAAGAAAATGAAAAGAAAAAGAGCATATGCACTTGACACCTTAAAAAAATGCAACACAAAATGTGTGTCTGGGCTTCCTGTAAGGCAAAATCACTGAGTTTTCCAGTTCTGATTTTCTAATAAAAGGATGTATAAACATTTGGCAATCAAGTTTCTCTCACACTGAATTCCAGGAGAAATTTATTGTATGAATCCTAACATTGGAATATCTGCATATTTTATAATATGTAGAATATTTGGGGGAAAAACAGGAACATTTAACTATTTCTTTCAATAATGTTAACCATCACTTATAATCAAGACATAGACTTAAAACAGGTTGCTGCAAGAACCTTCTAATTGCTTCACTTAAGTTTAAATCCCTTCAAGTAGCATATCCAAAGCTCTTTAGTAACTGACCTCCCCTTCCTAGCCTCTGTTCCATCCCTTCTGATCTCTCCTCCAAAGCAACATTTAACTTCAGGTTTTTACCCTATCATGTTCTTTCTTGTCTCCAGTCCTTTCTTCCTGATTTATTTAACGTATTATATATAGAACTCCCTTACTCTACTCTAACCTGTCTACATGTGGCTTAACTCCTGCTTATTTTTCCAGTTTCATTTGAGATGCACCATCCTCCAGGAAGTCTCCTGACCACACGTCGCGTGTAGATGTCCTTGCTGTGTGCACTGTCAGCACCAGGGCTGCCCATGTCTTGTCTCTTAATACATAGCATCGGAATTGCATGTGCTAGCATCTGTCTACTCTGGCTAGAGTATGCGGTCCTCATCAGCTGCATCTTAACAGCACTGTTCATCATTATATTCCCAGCACGTAAGACATAGTCACACTTAATATTATATTTCTTGAATTGTTGTCATAGGTAAACAGAGATAAACTTAGCTTGCTTTCCTTTCTTTTTTCCCCCTTCTTTGGAGAGGAGTGGGGGAGGAGGTGTAAAAAGAGGAGGACGTATTTGTTACCTGACTATTCTTTCTTATTATGAACATTAGCCAGTCACAATCAGCTTCCAGCCATGACATATAAAACACTGTTATCTAATCTATAAAACTTAATTGAGAACACTCCTGATCCCCAGGGGCTAGACCCTGATTAAAAATTTAAACTTAAAGATAGATGCTGGCTCTAGTGGTCAAAATAACACTGAGGAGAGAAGAGGCAAAATCCAGGATCATGGTTCCAACATTTTAAAGCACATGTAATCCGGCACAAATCATCTTCAGGTGTAAGTGGAAAAGTGGGTGTCTGCACTCTCAGTGACTGCCTACCCGCCCAAACCAGAATTTAGGTACTTCTTTAGAACATGGCACAAATTATCACTATTTTTATGTAGCTGGGGCTCAGTAATCTGGTTGCAAACAGATCTTATTTGGAACCAGTATTTCATTCATATGTGTAGATATTTTGAAAAGCCAAATCCAAGAATTTAGATGATTTGAATTCCAAATGAAGGAAGGGAAGAAGATTGTATCGTGTTCCACTTTGGTTTTATTCAAGACCATTCCTTACTAGAAATTTCCATCTGAAGCCTTTTGACATTCCTGGTGTACATACAGTCTTTGAAGGGTGTTCATGGAATAAGTTGGTTGAAGCAAAATATCTCCTCCTAGTACACTGTCATGTTGTGCTTGTCAGTGCAGATGCCAAAGCGTGAGAGACTGTTTTCCATTTATAATAAATAGTCCAGACTGCCTCAGAGAGCCAACAGATTTGCATTCACTAAATGAAACAGCGCCCTGCTTAAAGCAAGCAACAATTCATCTTGTCTGCTCTCATCACAGGAGATGAGAGCTGAATGTTATCAGCTGTGTATAAATTCAACCTCCAAAGACAAGCACAAAGCTTCTAATGTGGCCTTTACCCACGAAACCCCACACCTCTGTTCCCGGAGTTGATGAGAGTGTATGTAACATGAACCACCCATGCTTCGGTGGTGAAGGTTGGGTACATGGTATTCCTCCAGATGAACAGGCTTTGACTCTGGAATCTGAAGGCGTGGCCAGGTAGCTCTGTCTTTTGTTCAATGGTGATTTCCTCCTTTTTGTAAATTAGGAGAGGTTTTATTTTATTTCCTTCTTAAAGCAGGAGGACTTATTTTTCCTCCTTTTATATTTTAAAAATCTTCCTTTTTATTTCATAAAATTAACACCCTATCCTTTTTAAAGCACCAGAGAACTGAAAGAATTATATAGACAAGAATGTTTGGGTGCATATACTTCCATTTAGCACAATAAAAAAACAGGTGAAATGGAAACATATTTTAACTATAGGAATAGCTGCAAAACACTGATCCAAACTGATTTTTCTTTAAACCAGCACAATAATATTTATATAATTTGAAGTTTTCAATCTGTATTCGAATGGCTCCCTGCTATGACATTTTTTTTCCTTTCAGAACCCACTGAAATCAATACTTTTGAAATAACAGCTCCAGAGCTAGCTAATGAAATACACTTTTGCCTTTGTCATTCAATAACTGTTCTCTTCCAAGAACTTTATTGATTCAAACAACTATAAAATGATATTTGTATCTTACATTGGCATTAAAAATCATTTAATGAAACCTTTTGAAGATCAGAATTCAGAAGATGAAATACAAAGAAACATATTTTACTCATGCCATCAAGCCCCCTTTCTGTGTAATAAGTGTTATGCAAACTCACACACAAACAAGCTATTGGCAAACAGAACAGTGGAAAATGAAGACAAAGTAGGAAACCAGTTGCCTGGCAGAATTAGAAAGGCTAAAATGCCCATCCGCTCCAAAGAGTCTTCTCTGAGAACGGCCATTGCCATGCCAGCCCTCAGAGGCCTGCCTTTGACTCATGTTAATGCTGCTCTAGAAGATGCCTTTTAAAATGCGTATTTATTCACTTCTATTACTCTTAAGGGTGTAATAGAATTACTTCTCAAATCCTGATCTGTGTTATCGGATTAAATAAAACTCTTCCTCCCCTACAAAACAAAACAAACAAAAAACAGTAGATTCTTATGAAGTAATGGGATATGTGGGAACCTGAAAGACTTGGACTGCTGTGTTCCACTAAGTGTTGGGAAATATAGGACAGAAAAGGAGAAAAAGTCAAACATTAGGGTATCAGCTTTGAATTTCATCCTCTCTCTCACAGTGAATTTCATACGGATTCAGGATATGTATGTGTATGTGGGGAGCCCCTTAAAAGGAAACCAGAGGCCACCCACAATAACGTGTCTACGTGACTTTTTTTTTTTACCCAATTAGAGGACTCTACTGTGTTTAACAGAATCCCAAATTGATCATTAAATCCAGTGATTGGTGTTTAACAAGGCCGGACAGATGAGGAGACACAGAGGAGACACACAGGCAAAGGCCATGTGAGGACAGAAGCAGAGACTGGTGTTGAGCAGCTTCTGCAGATCATGCAGCACTGGAGGCTGCAGCCACCTGAAGTGAGCAGAGGGAACGAGGATCCTTTCCTGGAGACTTCAGAGACTCATTCGACCCTTCACTAGAAGTGCTGCCTAGTGAATAAGACAAGAAAAGGAAATGAAAGTGACACATGTTGGAAAAGAAGAAATAAAACTATATTTCCATATACCATGATTTTCTATGAAAATCCCAAAGAACCTACCAAAAACTCTTGGACTTAGTAAGTGAATACAGCAAGTTCGCCAGAAGTAGGAGGCCAACAACAGTTGCATCCAGGAGAAAAGGAGGGAGTTGGCAATAAGTAAATCACAGTGAATTGGACATCATCAGCGATCGAGGCAAAGGCAGGCACATGAAGGTGTCCCTGTTCTGAAAACTGGTCACAGATACCTATATCATGGATAGTTGTCCTCTAGTTGCAACGTCACACACTTGATTTTTCTTGCAGCCCCCTGTGATATTTGGGAGACTTTTGAAAGAGGTAAATTATTGGAAGGGGATAATGCTCATCAGAGCAAGGGAATACTTGATGTGGAACGTAACATTTGCTGGCCATTGTCATCAGCAGCAGAGCAAGAGAGAAAAAATAAAGACATTGTAATTGCAACATTGTATAGCTGAGCTTTCCTGGAAATAACAGATTCATATTAGAGGAAAAGGAGCCCTTTTGGCCTCTGATGTCAAAGCCCAGAGTGGCGATTTATCAATGGGTACTCAAATGTACTGCTAGAATGAATGTATATCTCAAGGATCAGTACTTTCTATCAGCAAAGATGGGCTCATGCTGCCAGTATATTTCCAAGACTTCTTGGTAGAAACCTGAACTAAAATATGTCGGGTACTGTATTTATACTTTAAAAAGTAATCAGTTTCATAAAGCCATATCTTGGACTTCAGATAAATTAAAAGATATTCTACAAATGACTACTCTGGTACCTACATTTAACTGGAAGCTTTTCAGTGAAATGAATTGTTTTGTATTTTCTAAATTTAACTATAAATGCTTTCTTCATTTCTATGTTCTTGAAGGTAATTTTTGTTCAGATGTATGTCATTTGTCCAGAGTAGAGTGATATTGTATGTGATCACTTAAAAGAAAACTAACTGATGCACCACAAAAATTAAATATTAAACTTGTACTTAATCAAAGACTTTGTAAATATAATCATAAAATTAGTGGAGCACTGTAAAGACCCATCCAAGACTTATAAATGGATATGCATTCAAAATACTCATTGTAGTTTTTGTTCAAACCTATAGAAGCACATTATGTAATTGCACAAATATTCATTTTCCATTGCAATTAAAAATGGATCATGAACACCATGAAGGATGACTTCATAGAATACACATGTGTGAGTTATGACCACAGTCTAAGGTACAGAGGCTGGTTTTCTTGACATGAGTCCCATTCTTCTGTGTTCTGACTCTAACCACTATAGGCAAAAATTCAATCAGAGGGATAGTGCCATCTCACAGAGAACCTCAGAATTAGGAAAATCTATACATTTTCTTTAAATTTGAGAAACTATTTTTGGTTGGCTTAATCACAATTATGTAGGACATCATGTCACATGGCATTAGTATAATTGTGAATTAATAACCATTTTGAGAGCTTTGGATCTTGGTGATGCGTGTGTGTGTGTGTGTGTGTGTGTGTGTGTACCTGTTTCTCAGAATGAGTTCTTATTGGTATGAATTAGATAATATATAAAATGCCCAGATAATGTATGATGCAATCAGGTAAGGAAAAAACCCCAGGTTAGTGGTACCAGTGTCATGAGCAACCAATGGCCAAGAGTTAATGAAGAAATAGGCTTTTCTTACTTTAACAATGGTATATATAATATAGGCATATAAGTTATGTGCATGTTACAAGATAAAATACACAATAAGAATTTAGTTTTTAAAATGTATACTTAAAAACCAATATATTTCAAGCAGAATTCCCAGAGAGCTGATAAAAAGGGAAAAATACTATTTAGATATACATATATACACATATTAACTCCAAATATAAATCCATTTAAATCCCTCATAGTTAGCAGTCCAAAGAGAATTATTTATAAATAGAACTTAGAGGTTACTTTAACTTAAGTGTAATAATAATAATATCATGAGTCACGCTTGAGAAAACAGCTGTTGATTTTTAATCCATTGGCTATTGTATTTGTATTTTCCATGTGAAGTACTGAATGTGGGTCCTTAAAGACAGACTTTTCTAGCTCATTTCTCAAGGTTATTAAAGCATATATGATTACTGCAAGAATAAATGTTTTGTGTGTTCATTTCTTTTTTATTGCTAAGTATCTGGAAACAATATAATTTACTTGCCTGTTTCTTAGGTCTCCTGGGAGTTCTTTAAAATGTAACTTAACATTAAATTCTTATAATGGTGATAAATTTAATCTGTTAATCTCATGCAACCTTTTGCAGATAGGGGATATTTATTCTCATATGAATATTGACTCACTAATGCTCTTAATAAATGCTCTAAATAAATTGCTCTAATTCAAGAGGAAAAACATCATGGCAGTTAATATTTTATAGGGAACATACCTCTGTTTCCCATTCCATTGTAGAATAGTGATCTGTTTAATAACAGGACACTGGTCAAAGCAAGTGAAGACAGTCTTCTAAAGTCAAATGTACTGATTTCTCATTTCGGTGGTACCGAACTTATTTCTCCTGTGCTTTCTCACCATGTCATTAGTTTTAATGGGAAAATGTTTAGAAGAGATAAAATAGTAAAGAATTTGTTTTGCCTGGTACTAAGTAACTAATTGTATACTGTGTAGATCATTTAACCCAATGATCATACTAAACATTTTTCAAGTTCGTGAAACTGTGCTGCTGAAATGTACTGAAATGGATTTCCATGTCAGATACAAACAGGAAATATTACCTAAGACAATAAGTAGGATAGATTTGATAAAGACAAGGTGACAAGCAATAGCTACAACCATATAGAGAAGGGACAAATGGGATAGAGAATGGTAACTGTTACCGGTGCTGAAGAAGAAATGCAAACCC